CTATGGAGTCAGTTCTTATTTCCAGTGAAACATGCTCTCAGGTTTACAGGGAGCTCTGGTGAGATGAACTGACCTGATGACTTCAGCAATGGGCTCTAGTGTGTTAGAGATGATGAGGCCGGCACAAGACAGCACAGGGTTCAGGTCACCCATTCAGAGGGTCGCTGTGAGTCATGTTCAACTTGATGGCCCCTAACAACAATGATAACTGGTGGCCTATTGGAAAGAAGATGTGCTGCAATTCCAACGGCACAAGTTTCAAATCCACCAGCTCTGCAGAAGACAGATGGGCAATCTCTTCCCATGCAATCTGCTGCAACTGAAAACCCACCGGAGGGTCAGCTCTGCATTGGTTCCAACTTGATGGCATACAACAACAACAACAACAACAAGAAGCCAGGTTTACAGGACTGTTAATCTTTGCATTAAGAAATTGCCTCATTTTTTGCCTATGGAGCAGCTGGTGGATCTGAACCAGGCCAGCATGCAACATCCTGTGACACTAGGGTTCCTTAGGGTAAAGCTATATGTACTTAAAGCGTAAAGAGAAATAATGTTGTCATCAAGCTATTCCAACTCTTATAGCAACATTGCAGCTCCACAGATTGTCAAGGCTGTACCTCTTCATGGAAGCAGACGACTGCCACATTTTTCTCCCAAGAAGTCGCTGGCAGGTTGCACCATCAGCCTTTCCGTTAGAAGCCAAGTGCTTAACCCCTGTGCCACCAGAGCTCCAGATCCCTTAAAACCACACGCTGTTAAACAACAATTTGGTACCTAACTCAGCCACTGAGTAAGCTAAGAGTGTGTAGCTATCCCTTTATTCTCATTTCATTTCTTTCTTTTGGAGCACTTAAACCCTCACCATTGCTCACTGGGGCCTCATCTTTGATCAGATAAAGAATTGTCTTAATGGACAGAGAATCCGTAGCAGAGTCTCAGTCCCTGGATTCGTTACAGCCTCCTACGTGTCCAGAAAACATCTGTGGAACAAAGGAATAAAAAGAGCACAGCCAACTGCCAGCTGCATCGCCCGCAGTCACCCATGGCGCTTTGCTAGGTTGTAAATGCCCAGCTTGCGCTTTCTCTGCGCTGTAATCAGCCCAGCGAGTGGGGGCGTGCATGCGTCCCTGTCCTTAAGTGCAGACATGAGCTGGGCAATGAGGTTAATGACAGGCTCAATGCTAAAGATGTGAGAGGAGCAGGACGGGCTGCTAAGGGTCAGTACCGTGCTTCTCAGAGAAGCGATCTGCAGCCTCAGGACATGATGGCCAAGCATGGGGGCTGCCTCCCTGACACAGGACACCAGCACAGGGCTGGCTGCATAGGGGCTGCCTCCCTGACACAGGACACCAGCACAGGGCTGGCTGCATAGGGGCTGCCTCCCTGACACAGGACACCAGCACAGGGCTGGCTGCATAGGGGCTGCCTCCCTGACACAGGACACCAGCACAGGGCTGGCTGCATAGCATGCTTCATTCGCAGCAGCAGACACGCCCCCAATTTCACCACCATGTGATCAGGACACCCCTCGCCCAGCCAGTGACGGTGCCGGGAAAGGCCTTCCTCCACCTCCGCCGACCTGAGGGTCCTGGATAAAACTCTGCTGCAAATCAACTTACAGGCATTGGCTTTCAAATGACACAACAACCTATAGCTGTTTAATTTTACAATGAAGCAATTGCACAAAAGAAAAGGCTGGCTGCAGCAGAGGCCAATGGCATCACCCTCTTCCACTATGAGGATACTTTTCAGGGACCAGTGGCTGGGCTGCTGACCCCCCTGCAGATGGCTGGGCGGAAACTCTCCAGCTCACACTCAATCCATTTTCTGTCCAGCACCCCAGCTCCTATGTGTAGATGCTCTTATGTGCTCCAAAGACTTGTTAACTACCCAAAGCTACAGTGAGAATAAGAAAAAAAATCATTTCAAAATCTCAAAGGAGACAAAAGACCATAGTGAGAGTCAGAACCACCAGCATGTGGTCTAAATTTCCTCCAATATTTCCTTGCCTTCTAGCATGCTGGTGTTCTAGAACTCTACCCGCCCAGGATTGGTTCTGTCAACTGTCAATCAAGCAGCCAGGTGAGCCATGTGAGGTCATACAGCTCCTCCCTGCTCTCAGGCCCCAACAACCCACTAGTGATTTCCACCATGCCCATCAAGCCATTATTCTTCCTAATGATCTAAACACATAGAATGTTGTTGTTTGTTGTTGTTATGTGCCGTTGAGTCGCTTGTGACTCATAGCGACCCTATGTACAACAGCCCTAAACCCTGCTCTATCCTGT